CAGTAGCGTAGCGGGGAGGCGGGGGGGGGGGGGGGGGGGGGGGGAAGGGGAGGCGGGGGGAGGTGGAGGGGGGGGCGGGGGGACATATGTTGGGGCGCCAAAATGGTTTGGAAAAATAAATTGAAAGGTTGAGGGGGGTTCTAATCGAAAGTTTGAGTGGGGGGGGGGGTGCACATCAAAAGTTTGAGGGGGGGGGGGGGGGGTTGAAAATCGAAATCTTGGGGGGGGGGGGTTAAAATCGAAAAGTTTGTCCCCGGGCGCCGGGAAGGCTCGCTATGCCTCTGAGTGACAGACGTGATGTTTTTTGATGGATGACCCCCGAAACCCACAGTTATCCAACGGATGACGGGTATTCTAGTTAGAACTAAAGGTTAATACAAACAATGTATAATATTGTTTAGTATTGCTTATGTTTAGCCTCGAGTTCGAATTAAGTGTTTACGTCCGTAGAACTTCCATGGGTCACCCAGCTCTGATGGTTACCTGACTCACATTAGGGAAACTAAAGGCGGTTGGGTATAGCACTGACCTAACTATCCCTTCATATGACAATAGTGAACTCTAATTCACGTGTCCCATGGACAAAAGCTTAGAAAAACATTTTTCTTCACTGTATATTGCTTAATTCCACAGTCTATTAAAATATTCGACGGTGAAGGTTAAGGACAAATGTTGACCTTGAGATCAACCAACGTTCTGATTTTTGGACCCTCTTTATGCATGAACGTGACCGACGTTGAATACATTTCCCTCGGTGTGTTTAGCATTACTTACAAAAGCAGACAAAAATTGAAAAGCCAATTCAAGTGGCTACACAACATGCGTTACGTGTTGTTTTCATAAAGGTAATTCTGTTTAAAAGAGCTGTGGACATTAAATTATTATCATTACGTCGTTAGTTAAATATAATTTTAGCTAAAAACATCGCTGTTGTAAATACAACAGTACATTAAAAGTAATAATGTAAAAAAATTTGATTAAAAATTTGATTAATCGATGTAACAAACACCAGATGGAAATAAATTTTGGTAAGTACAACTTTAGGGGGGTGCAGTAGATTTTAAACGACTCCTTTAAATTTTAAAGATTATGTATGAATATTATAATCATTTTTATACTGCTGTAAGAAAAAATAGCCTTCATATTTATTGGAAACTACTAAGGAACTTTAACCTAAGTAGACATCAATTGATTTACAAAACAATGATTCTTTCTACTAAAATATATGTTGTATTCACATTAATGAAAACATAAAACATAACACTATATAACAAATTGAATTAATACATATCCGATATTTAATGTGTACCTAAAGTTATCTAGCTAGAGTACCTAATAATAGTAACATAACAATGCATAATTCAGCAAACTTTCCACAACTGTAGAAATGTCTAATGTCAGAGTTGACGTCATGAGGAGAGCAATTTCCCGGAATGTTGAAAAAAAAGCATTAGTTTTCGGTTTCATAACTACATGAATATTTTTACATTCGAATAATTCTTTATTCTAATTTTTTTTTTTTTTTTTTTTTTTTTTTTTTTTTTTTTTTTTTTTATTCTAATTTATGTCTTCAAAAAGGATGTGTCATATGAATCATTTGTCGAGAACACTTTCCTGTAACGTTGAATATAGGAATTACTTTTGTGGTTGCATAACTATATGTGTGTTTGTACATTTGAATATTTCTTTATTTCAATTTGCATCTTTAAATTAAAAAAAATTATATGTTTAGTATAACTAGTATGTTTTTCTTGAAAAAGTAAGTCTCTTTAATTGCCACTATTTGCCTACAATACTGAGCTCATTGCTTCGGCAAAAGTTGACAGACAAAGAGGAGGTAATATAATTTATCTATTATCTCTTTCAATATTTTAATAGACTTGGCTTTGGCATGGTTAATTAAAAACGTCAAGTTTGAAGTGGGGGATGGCGTGGTGTACCTATTTAACTCTGTACCCACCGACTGCATAATCGACACACCAGCAAAAATAAGAGCTATTCAGGATGTTCATTGGATGAGATAATCTGTTCACAGTTGAATTGATATCTCTTCAGAACAAATTAAAATAGCAACCAGACGAGTGTTGTATGCGACTCTGTGATCGCCAAATAAAATTAATATTTCGGCCTCGTTGAATATTATTTTTTTTTTATTGCATGTTATTACAGCCTGTGCTATGCCCACGCCAAATCAAACTTTGCCACTTGAAACGTGCAGTTTATTTATTATTTTTATCGTGTCGTTAGTTACGTGTGACCCTAGCTACAATGAAAAATAGATAATAGCTAGCACTTATATACCTGTAAACATGTGTCGAGTTAAAGCTAATGCAGTTTTTTTTTTAAATTATGTTCTTTTATTGATTTATTTTTGCCATGAACCCCCTACTTTGCTTTATTTTGCTTTATTTTTTTGTTGTTTTTGTGTTGTCTTTTAAAATATTTTTGTTTTATTTTCTGCATTGTGTTTCTGTTTTGAGATGTTTGTTTTGATGCTTTTGTTTTTGCATTTGTTGTGTTCGCAAGGGTTTTACAGCAATGTTTGTTTTTAGCCTTTTGTAATAGTTATCGTCTTGCATTTTGATTGCTTTTTGTTACATTGTTATTAGGGGTATGTTGTTATATTTTTGTTGACTATATGTGATTTCTGTGATGTGTGTGTACTTGTTACGTTTTTATGTTGTTGCGTATTTGACTTGTGCTGATTACTTAGTGTTCTCTTCTGTTTATTTAAATGACTATATATTTTTAAGTTATGACTTTAATATTTTGATATTGTTGTATGTATTTGCGTTATTGTTATTTTGTGATTTGTGGCTTTGATAAATTGTGAGTATTGTTATTTTATTCTATTTGTGTTTGTGTAATATTATTTTTTATCGAAATATTTCGTTGCGTTCGTTTTCTAAAGTAATGACAACAACATAATATAAAATATATAAGCTCCCATCATAATAAAGCAAAGTCATTAGATATTGCTTTTAGGGTTTTTAGCACCTACATTTTAAATACATTTATATGTGGGAGTGCGTGCGGACTCCCACAGGGTGACACCATTTAAGAGTGTGACACCACGACAAAAAATAACAAAATACATTTAGAAAAAAATATGATCAGCACTATTTTAATTTAAAACGTCAGCCATTCTATAGTCTGTAATACCAGCGGCATCGAATTCGCAATAAACCAGTATAATTTTAAACCATATCAGATTAGCCAAAACGTGTCAGGATCCATGCATTATCATAAAGATTAGCTTACGTTTACAATAGCCCATTTCAACATGTTTTCCCCCTGAAGCCAAATGTTGATTAACCAAAAATTATATCGAATATATTTCTTAAATAGACTTGGCGCAACCAAATTGTTAATCGGATTTCATGATAGTGTATTGATTCATCACCCAGATATATTAGCCTTTAAACAAATAACCCAGAAATTCCCGAAGAGTTAAAAACATTTTGTATTAGATCCGTTGTTTGATATTTACCTGCAGCTTAGAATATTTTAGGTCAGGTCAATGTCATGACGCCCTCGTCATCTTCCCAGACTTAAACACCGTGTGAAATATATTGCTCAGGCCAATCTACAGGTATTGATTTATTAACTCAGCCACGTTAAACAGCCAACTGCTTAAAAACTGAAGATTAGGACCAACAATAGCAATCTCATTAAATGGGAGTTAATTACCCACGTTTATTCACTTATTTAAATGGGAGATTACTACCCTTGATCCCACACACTTGATAAAACTTTGAGCCTAACTCCCACAATACCACTGCTAGTTAATATATAGGCTCATGCCCAAAAATCTTTCACGAAGGTGTAGTGTAATCTGATGAACTCTGGAATATGTCATAAAACTTCATATTTGAAGGATTAAAAAAAAGCTTGATTACCTGAATATAATGTTCTTAGAATTGTATTTGTTCTGTTCTTGATACGATGAGATGGGATATGCGAAAGGTGCTGATAAGAGGGTGGGGAACAAAATGGTTGGAACAAATAATGAATTTACATTTTTAGTTGAAAAAAAGGTTATTGCGATCCTTCTAGTAATTAAAGAAATTAACACATTACATGGTCGATGGACTTTTATTATTGCACATGACAGCAATTTGTCTTTAACGTTAGCATACTAATTATACGTGGTTGCTTATTAAAATAGTCATCAACGACTTAACAAAGGGGAGACAATAGCGTAATGAACGACTTTGACGACATAATAATTGTATAATAATTATTTGGCTCCATACAAGAAATAGAGCCCGGATGAAACTTAGATAAAAATACCCGTGTTGGGAATTTTTTCTCCAATAAAGTTTCCAACAGCTGGATTCATGTTGACAATGATGTAGATGCCTAGCGAAATTATGTTTGCTACAATACTGAAGTTTGTATCGCTGGATTATATAACCGTCATAATCCGTTCAATGATAACTAGCTGAGGTATTTTTACGAGAGAAGTTTAGCCGTGTGTTTCAGGACATAGCTGGTACAGCCTGCATGTTCAGCGTACGTAACAACACTGTGGAAAACTAACACGTCACTTAGGTCTTTGATGTTAGTACCACCACACTTTGATGTTAACAACACCTCACTTTGATGTTATCAACACCTCACGTTGATACACTATACTTTGATGTTAGTACCACCACACTTTGATATCAACACCGCACTTCAAACTTTGACGTTACGAACACACACGTTGATGTAACCAACACCACACGTTAATGTTATCAACGCCATACTTTGATGTTAACAACACCACACTTTGATGTTAACACCACACTTCAAACTTTGACGTTACGAACCCACACGTTGATGTTACCAACACCACACGTTAATGTTATCAACACCATACTTTGATGTTAACAACACCACACTTTGATGTTAACACCACACTTCAAACTTTGACGTTACGAACCCACACGTTGATGTTACCAACACCACACGTTAATGTTATCAACGCCATACTTTGATGTTAACAACACCACACTTTGATGTTAACACCACACTTCAAACTTTGACGTTACGAACCCACACGTTGATGTTACCAACACCACACGTTAATGTTATCAACACCACACTTTGATGTTAACAACACCACACTTTGATGTTAACACCACACTTCAAACTTTGACGTTACGAACCCACACGTTGATGTTACCAACACCACACGTTAATGTTATCAACACCACACTTTGATGTTAACAACACCACACTTTGATGTTAACACCACACTTCAAACTTTGACGTTACGAACCCACACGTTGATGTTACCAACACCACACGTTAATGTTATCAACACCACACTTTGATGTTAACAACACCACACTTTGATGTTAACACCACACTTCAAACTTTGACGTTACGAACCCACACGTTGATGTTACCAACACCACACGTTAATGTTATCAACACCACACTTTGATGTTAACAACACCACACTTTGATGTTAACACCACACTTCAAACTTTGACGTTACGAACCCACACGTTGATGTTACCAACACCACACGTTAATGTTATCAACACCACACTTTGATGTTAACAACACCACACTTTGATGTTAACACCACACTTCAAACTTTGACGTTACGAACCCACACGTTGATGTTACCAACACCACACGTTAATGTTATCAACACCACACTTTGATGTTAACAACACCACACTTTGATGTTAACACCACACTTCAAACTTTGACGTTACGAACCCACACGTTGATGTTACCAACACCACACGTTAATGTTATCAACACCACACTTTGATGTTAACAACACCACACTTTGATGTTAACACCACACTTCAAACTTTGACGTTACGAACCCACACGTTGATGTTACCAACACCACACGTTAATGTTATCAACACCACACTTTGATGTTAACAACACCACACTTTGATGTTATCAACACCACACTTCAAACTTTGACGTTACGAACCCACACGTTGATGTTACCAACACCACACGTTAATGTTATCAACACCACACTTTGATGTTAACAACACCACACTTTGATGTTAACAACACCACACTTTGATGTTATCAACACCACACTTTGATCTTTGATGCTGCTACCACCACACCTCGACCGGCGCTGTAACCACAACCGACAACACAGGATCTGTCTTCTTGGAGGATGCCATTTTGTGTAAACTAGAAGATAGACAGGTTAAGTATATAACATTAACTAGCAATGGAGAGCAATTAAATAATTAGTATCAGTCATGTATCCCATGATGACACATAATGAGATTAAATAAAACTGTCTTATTAATGCCCTCACCTGAAAACAAAAGCAAGTGTGTGAGTAGCACTAGCGACTGAATTTGATGATCATCAACAATGACACTGCGCTGCTTGTAAGAATTACAATACATCCAATCAAGCTAAGGTAAAATGCGAACCCGCATTTAACCGTTGTGTCGCCAGATGATTCATCCAGGTATGTGACCCACGACACTGCACACACACCGATACTTACACCTGTTACAGGATCATAACACAAAATTGCTTTTCAGGTACTTCACATAAAACAAAATTGGCTTGTAAGGTAATTCACATAAAACAAAATCACACAGAAGACACTCAGAAAATTTTCTAATTACGTAATTATTTCTATTGCACTTATGACGAACTATTTTACACCCAAATTCTGAATATGATTTTAATTATTTAAATAGTTATTTATGCTAACATATCTTTCCCCTTTATCTTCATCGTTCTTCATTGTAAAGCTAAAGGGGCTTTCGAACTCAATTAACTCCTACATGTTAACACGTAATGCAAAATAAGGCCAGTTGACTCCGACTTCAGTCTTCCTTTACTAGACAGGGCCCCTTGTGTTTGTGTTTGTGTTTGAGAGCCACAACTTACTAGACAGGGCCCCTTGTGTTTGAGAGCCACAACTTACTAGACAGGACCCCTTGTGTTTGTGTTTGAGAGCCACAACTTACTAGACAGGGCCCCTTGTGTTTGAGAGCCACAACTTACTAGACAGGGCCCATTGTGTTTGAGAGCCACAACTTACTAGACAGGGCCCCTTGTGTTTGAGAGCAACAACTTACTAGACAGGGCCCCTTGTGTTTGTGTTTGAGAGCCACAACTTACTAGACAGGGCCCATTGTGTTTGAGAGCCACAACTTACTAGACAGGGCCCATTGTGTTTGAGAGCCACAACTTACTAGACAGGGCCCCTTGTGTTTGAGAGCCACAACTTACTAGACAGGGCCCCTTGTGTTTGAGAGCCACAACTTACTAGACAGGGCCCATTGTGTTTGAGAGCCACAACTTGCTAGACAGGGCCCCTTGTGTTTGAGAGCCACAACTTACTAGACAGGGCCCCTTATGTTTGAGAGCCACAACTTACTAGACAGGGCCCCTTGTGTTTGAGAGCCACAACTTGCTAGACAGGGCCCCTTATGTTTGAGAGCCACAACTTACTAGACAGGGCCCCTTGTGTTTGAGAGCCACAACTTGCTAGACAGGGCCCCTTGTGTTTGTGTTTGAGAGCCACAACTTGCTAGACAGGGCCCCTTGTGTTTGTGTTTGAGAGCCACAACTTACTAGACAGGGCCCATTGTGTTTGAGAGCCACAACTTACTAGACAGGGCCCCTTGTGTTTGAGAGCCACAACTTACTAGACAGGGCCCCTTGTGTTTGAGAGCCACAACTTACTAGACAGGGCCCATTGTGTTTGAGAGCTACAACTTGCTAGACAGGGCCCATTGTGTTTGAGAGCAACAACTTACTAGACAGGGCCCCTTGTGTTTGTGTTTGAGAGCCACAACTTACTAGACAGGGCCCCTTGTGTTTGTGTTTGAGAGCCACAACTTACTAGACAGGGCCCATTGTGTTTGAGAGCCACAACTTACTAGACAGGGCCCCTTGTGTTTGTGTTTGAGAGCCACAACTTACTAGACAGGGCCCCTTGTGTTAGTGTTTGAGAGCCACAACTTACTAGACAGGGCCCCTTGTGTTAGTGTTTGAGAGCCACAACTTACTAGACAGGGCCCCTTGTGTTTGAGAGCCACAACTTACTAGACAGGGCCCCTTGTGTTTGTGTTTGAGAGCCACAACTTACTAGACATGGCCCCTTGTGTTTGAGAGCCACAACTTACTAGACAGGGCCCCTTGTGTTTGAGAGCCACAACTTACTAGACAGGGCCCCTTGTGTTTGAGAGCCACAACTTGCTAGACAGGGCCCCTTGTGTTTGTGTTTGAGAGCCACAACTTACTAGACATGGCCCATTGTGTTTGAGAGCCACAACTTACTAGACAGGGCCCCTTGTGTTTGTGTTTGAGAGCCACAACTTACTAGACATGGCCCATTGTGTTTGTGTTTGAGAGCCACAACTTACTAGACAGGGCCCCTTGTGTTTGAGAGCCACAACTTGCTAGACAGGGCCCCTTGTGTTTGTGTTTGAGAGCCACAACTTACTAGACAGGGCCCCTTGTGTTTGAGAGCCACAACTTGCTAGACAGGGCCCCTTGTGTTTGTGTTTGAGAGCCACAACTTACTAGACATGGCCCATTGTGTTTGAGGAGCCACAACTTACTAGACAGGGCCCCTTGTGTTTGTGTTTGAGAGCCACAACTTACTAGACATGGCCCATTGTGTTTGAGAGCCACAACTTGCTAGACATGGCCCATTGTGTTTGAGAGCCACAACTTACTAGACATGGCCCATTGTGTTTGAGAGCCACAACTTACTAGACAGGGCCCATTGTGTTTGAGAGCCACAATTTACTAGACAGGGCCCATTGTGTTTGAGAGCCACAACTTGCTAGACAGGGCCCATTGTGTTTGAGAGCCAAAACTTACTAGACAGGGCCCATTGTGTTTTAGAGCCACAACTTGCTAGACAGGGCCCATTGTGTTTGAGAGCCAAAACTTACTAGACAGGGCCCATTGTGTTTGAGGAGCCACAACTTACTAGACAGGGCCCCTTGTGTTTGTGTTTGAGAGCCACAACTTACTAGACATGGCCCATTGTGTTTGAGAGCCACAACTTACTAGACAGGGCCCATTGTGTTTGAGAGCCACAACTTACTAGACAGGGCCTCTTGTGTTTGAGAGCCACAACTTACTAGACAGGGCCCCTTGTGTTTGAGAGCCACAATTTACTAGACAGGGCCCCTTGTGTTTGTGTTTGAGAGCCACAACTTACTAGACAGGGCCCCTTGTGTTTGAGAGCCACAACTTACTAGACAGGGCCTCTTGTGTTTGTGTTTGAGAGCCACAACTTACTAGACAGGGCCCCTTGTGTTTGAGAGCCACAACTTACTAGACAGGGCCCCTTGTGTTTGTGTTTGAGAGCCACAACTTACTAGACAGGGCCCCTTGTGTTTGAGAGCCACAACTTACTAGACAGGGCCCCTTGTGTTTGTGTTTGAGAGCCACAACTTACTAGACATGGCCCCTTGTGTTTGAGAGCCACAACTTACTAGACAGGGCCCCTTGTGTTTGAGAGCCACAACTTACTAGACAGGGCCCCTTGTGTTTGAGAGCCACAACTTACTAGACAGGGCCCCTTGTGTTTGAGAGCCACAACTTACTAGACAGGGCCCCTTGTGTTTGAGAGCCACAACTTACTAGACAGGGCCCCTTGTGTTTGAGAGCCACAACTTACTAGACAGGGCCTCTTGTGTTTGTGTTTCAGAGCCACAACTTACTAGACAGGGCCCCTTGTGTTTGAGAGCCACAACTTACTAGACAAGGGCCCCTTGTGTTTGAGAGCCACAACTTACTAGACAGGGCCCCTTGTGTTTGAGAGCCACAACTTACTAGACAGGGCCCCTTGTGTTTGTGTTTGAGAGCCACAACTTACTAGACAGGGCCCCTTGTGTTTGAGAGCCACAACTTACTAGACAGGGCCCCTTGTGTTTGTGTTTGAGAGCCACAACTTACTAGACAGGGCCCCTTGTGTTTGAGAGCCACAACTTACTAGACAGGGCCCCTTGTGTTTGAGAGCCACAACTAACTAGACAGGGCCCCTTGTGTTTGTGTTTGAGAGCCACAACTTACTAGACAGGGCCCCTTGTGTTAGTGTTTGAGAGCCACAACTTACTAGACAGGGCCCCTTGTGTTAGTGTTTGAGAGCCACAACTTACTAGACAGGGCCCCTTGTGTTAGTGTTTGAGAGCCACAACTTACTAGACAGGGCCCCTTGTGTTTGAGAGCCACAACTTACTAGACAGGGCCCCTTGTGTTTGAGAGCCACAACTTACTAGACAGGGCCCTTTGTGTTTGTGTTTGAGAGCCACAACTTACTAGACAGGGCCCCTTGTGTTTGAGAGCCACAACTTACTAGACAGGGCCCCTTGTGTTTGTGTTTGAGAGCCACAACTTACTAGACATGGCCCCTTGTGTTTGAGAGCCACAACTTACTAGACAGGGCCCCTTGTGTTTGAGAGCCACAACTTACTAGACAGGGCCCCTTGTGTTTGAGAGCCACAACTTACTAGACAGGGCCTCTTGTGTTTGTGTTTCAGAGCCACAACTTACTAGACAGGGCCCCTTGTGTTTGAGAGCCACAACTTACTAGACAGGGCCCCTTGTGTTTGAGAGCCACAACTTACTAGACAGGGCCCCTTGTGTTTGAGAGCCACAACTAACTAGACAGGGCCCCTTGTGTTTGTGTTTGAGAGCCACAACTTACTAGACAGGGCCCCTTGTGTTTGAGAGCCACAACTTACTAGACAGGGCCCCTTGTGTTTGTGTTTGAGAGCCACAACTTACTAGAAAGGGCCCCTTGTGTTTGAGAGCCACAACTTACTAGACAGGGCCCCTTGTGTTTGAGAGCCACAACTTACTAGACAGGGCCCCTTGTGTTAGTGTTTGAGAGCCACAACTTACTAGACAGGGCCCATTGTGTTTGAGAGCCACAACTTACTAGACAGGGCCCCTTGTGTTAGTGTTTGAGAGCCACAACTTACTAGACAGGGCCCCTTGTGTTTGAGAGCCACAACTTACTAGACAGGGCCCCTTGTGTTTGAGAGCCACAACTTACTAGACAGGGCCCCTTGTGTTCGAGAGCCACAACTTACTAGACAGGGCCCATTGTGTTTAAGAGCCACAACTTACTAGACAGGGCCCCTTGTGTTAGAGAGCCACAACTTACTAGACAGGGCCCCTTGTGTTTGAGAGCCACAACTTACTAGACAGGGCCCCTTGTGTTTGAGAGCCACAACTTACTAGACAGGGCCTCTTGTGTTTGTGTTTGAGAGCCACAACTTACTAGACAGGGCCCCTTGTGTTTGAGAGCCACAACTTACTAGACAGGGCCCCTTGTGTTTGAGAGCCACAACTTACTAGACAGGGCCCCTTGTGTTAGTGTTTGAGAGCCACAACTTACTAGACAGGGCCCCTTGTGTTAGTGTTTGAGAGCCACAACTTACTAGACAGGGCCCCTTGTGTTAGTGTTTGAGAGCCACAACTTACTAGACAGGGCCCCTTGTGTTTGAGAGCCACAACTTACTAGACAGGGCCCCTTGTGTTTGAGAGCCACAACTTACTAGACAGGGCCCCTTGTGTTTGAGAGCCACAACTTACTAGACAGGGCCCCTTGTGTTTGTGTTTGAGAGCCACAACTTACTAGACAGGGCCCCTTGTGTTTGAGAGCCACAACTTACTAGACAGGGCCCCTTGTGTTTGTGTTTGAGAGCCACAACTTACTAGACAGGGCCCCTTGTGTTTGAGAGCCACAACTTACTAGACAGGGCCCCTTGTGTTTGAGAGCCACAACTTACTAGACAGGGCCCCTTGTGTTAGTGTTTGAGAGCCACAACTTACTAGACAGGGCCCATTGTGTTTGAGAGCCACAACTTACTAGACAGGGCCCCTTGTGTTAGTGTTTGAGAGCCACAACTTACTAGACAGGGCCCCTTGTGTTTGAGAGCCACAACTTACTAGACAGGTCCCCTTGTGTTTGAGAGCCACAACTTACTAGACAGGGCCCCTTGTGTTCGAGAGCCACAACTTACTAGACAGGGCCCATTGTGTTTAAGAGCCACAACTTACTAGACAGGGCCCATTGTGTTAGAGAGCCACAACTTACTAGACAGGGCCCCTTGTGTTTGAGACCCACAACTTACTAGACAGGGCCCCTTGTGTTTGAGAGCCACAACTTACTAGACAGGGCCTCTTGTGTTTGTGTTTGAGAGCCACAACTTACTAGACAGGGCCCCTTGTGTTTGAGAGCCACAACTTACTAGACAGGGCCCCTTGTGTTTGAGAGCCACAACTTACTAGACAGGGCCCCTTGTGTTTGAGAGCCACAACTTACTAGACAGGGCCCCTTGTGTTTGAGAGCCACAACTTACTAGACAGGGCCCCTTGTGTTTGAGAGCCACAACTTACTAGACAGGGCCCCTTGTGTTTGAGAGCCACAACTTACTAGACAGGGCCCCTTGTGTTTGAGAGCCACAACTTACTAGACAGGGCCCCTTGTGTTTGTGTTTGAGAGCCACAACTTACTAGACAGGGCCCCTTGTGTTTGAGAGCCACAACTTACTAGACAGGGCCTCTTGTGTTTGTGTTTGAGAGCCACAACTTACTAGACAGGGCCCCTTGTGTTTGAGAGCAACAACTTACTAGACATGGCCCCTTGTGTTTGAGAGCCACAACTTACTAGACAGGGCCCCTTGTGTTTGAGAGCCACAACTTACTAGACAGGGCCCCTTGTGTTTGTGTTTGAGAGCCACAACTTACTAGACAGGGCCCATTGTGTTAGTGTTTGAGAGCCACAACTTACTAGACAGGGCTTTTGTGTTAGTGTTTGAGAGCCACAACTTACTAGACAGGGCCCCTTGTGTTTGTGTTTGAGAGCCACAACTTACTAGACAGGGCCCATTGTGTTTGAGAGCCACAACTTACTAGACAGGGCCCCTTGTGTTAGTGTTTGAGAGCCACAACTTACTAGACAGGGCCCCTTGTGTTAGTGTTTGAGAGCCACAACTTACTAGACAGGGCCCATTGTGTTTGAGAGCCACAACTTACTAGACATGGCCCATTGTGTTTGAGAGCCACAACTTACTAGACAGGGCCCCTTGTGTTTGAGAGCCACAACTTACTAGACAGGGCCCCTTGTGTTTGTACTTGAGAGCCACAACTTACTAGACAGGGCCCATTGTGTTTGAGAGCCACAACTTACTAGACAGGGCCCCTTGTGTTAGTGTTTGAGAGCCACAACTTACTAGACAGGGCCCCTTGTGTTTGAGAGCCACAACTTACTAGACAGGTCCCCTTGTGTTTGAGAGCCACAACTTACTAGACAGGGCCCCTTGTGTTCGAGAGCCACAACTTACTAGACAGGGCCCATTGTGTTTAAGAGCCACAACTTACTAGACAGGGCCCATTGTGTTAGAGAGCCACAACTTACTAGACAGGGCCCCTTGTGTTTGAGACCCACAACTTACTAGACAGGGCCCCTTGTGTTTGAGAGCCACAACTTACTAGACAGGGCCTCTTGTGTTTGTGTTTGAGAGCCACAACTTACTAGACAGGGCCCCTTGTGTTTGAGAGCCACAACTTACTAGACAGGGCCCCTTGTGTTTGAGAGCCACAACTTACTAGACAGGGCCCCTTGTGTTTGAGAGCCACAAATTACTAGACAGGGCCCCTTGTGTTTGAGAGCCACAACTTACTAGACAGGGCCCCTTGTGTTTGAGAGCCACAACTTACTAGACAGGGCCCCTTGTGTTTGAGAGCCACAACTTACTAGACAGGGCCCCTTGTGTTTGAGAGCCACAACTTACTAGACAGGGCCCCTTGTGTTTGTGTTTGAGAGCCACAACTTACTAGACAGGGCCCCTTGTGTTTGAGAGCCACAACTTACTAGACAGGGCCTCTTGTGTTTGTGTTTGAGAGCCACAACTTACTAGACAGGGCCCCTTGTGTTTGAGAGCAACAACTTACTAGACATGGCCCCTTGTGTTTGAGAGCCACAACTTACTAGACAGGGCCCCTTGTGTTTGAGAGCCACAACTTACTAGACAGGGCCCCTTGTGTTTGTGTTTGAGAGCCACAACTTACTAGACAGGGCCCATTGTGTTAGTGTTTGAGAGCCACAACTTACTAGACAGGGCTTTTGTGTTAGTGTTTGAGAGCCACAACTTACTAGACAGGGCCCCTTGTGTTTGTGTTTGAGAGCCACAACTTACTAGACAGGGCCCATTGTGTTTGAGAGCCACAACTTACTAGACAGGGCCCCTTGTGTTAGTGTTTGAGAGCCACAACTTACTAGACAGGGCCCCTTGTGTTAGTGTTTGAGAGCCACAACTTACTAGACAGGGCCCATTGTGTTTGAGAGCCACAACTTACTAGACATGGCCCATTGTGTTTGAGAGCCACAACTTACTAGACAGGGCCCCTTGTGTTTGAGAGCCACAACTTACTAGACAGGGCCCCTTGTGTTTGTACTTGAGAGCCACAACTTACTAGACAGGGCCCCTTGTGTTTGAGAGCCACAACTTACTAGACAGGGCCCCTTGTGTTTGTGTTTGAGAGCCACAACTTACTAGACAGGGCCCATTGTGTTTGAGAGCCACAACTTACTAGACAGGGCCCCTTGTGTTTGTGTTTGAGAGCCACAACTTACTAGACAGGGCCAATTGTGTTTGTGTTTAAGAGCCACAACTTACTAGACAGGGCCCATTGTGTTTGAGAGCCACAACTTACTAGACAGGGCCCCTTGTGTTTGTGTTTGAGAGCCACAACTTACTAGACAGGGCCCCTTGTGTTTGTGTTTGAGAGCCACAACTTACTAGACAGGGCCCCTTGTGTTTGAGAGCCGCAACTTACTAGACAGGGCCCATTGTGTTTGAGAGCCACAACTTACTAGACAGGGCCCCCAAAGCTGCCGAGAGGGTGACGTAGATGAGCTTAACTTGAAACACGTAGAGAAATATCGTGAGAACCGCTGCAGCTCCGGACAAAACTCCCATGATGGCGAAAGCTCGGCTGGCGTGGTAGCTGGGGGTCAAGGCTGTCAAAATGTAAAGGTTAAACGCTATACACCATGCTATCGATATGACCCAGTCGAATGATAAACATTATACAACATGTCAGTAGTATTACACAGTTAAATGTTAAACCTTACACAACAAGTCAGTGATATGACGCACTTGAATGTTAAACCTTATGCAACATATCAGTGATATGACAAAGTTGAATGTTAAACCTTATACAACAAGTCAGTGATATGACACAGTTGGACCCATAGTTGATGTTAAACCTAATAAACAATTTTTAGAACTATGCTTATAAGCTTTACATAAAATGTAATTCGTCTTTGAAGATAGATTTGAAAGAATAGGGCCTATATACAAATATATTTTTAACATTGTAACATAACAAAAGAAAGGGCGTATCTTTTTGAAAAAAAAAACATTTTTTTCTAAATCCTTAATCTTTAGAGTGTTGTTTTCCGTAGTTTTGTTCAAGGATCAATCTCTTAAAGTATACTACCCGATCATAAGGCCTTTTACTATCCACACACAAAAAATATAACTGAGACAAAATCTATAAAATAGTTAATTGCTATGTCTAGCTATTAAAAAACGTGACAACCATTATACCATCCTATTGAACATGAGCTTACTGATACTGTCGATTGAAGGTTAGCTTACTGATACTGTCGATTGAACGTGAGCTTACTGATACTGTCGATTGAACGTGAGCTTACTGACACTGTCGATTGAACATGAGCTTACTGATACTGTCGATAGAACGTTAGCTTACTGATGCTGTTGATTGAACGTGAGCTTACTGATACTGTCGGTTGAACGTGAGCTTACTGATGCTGTCGATAGAACGTGAGCTTACTGATACTGTCGATTGAACGTTAGCTTACTGATACTGTCGACTGAACGTGAGCTTACTGATACTGTCGATAGAACGTGAGCTTACTGATGCTGTTGATTGATGGTTAGCTTACTGATACTGTCGATAGAACGTGAGCTTACTGATACTGTCGATAGAACGTGAGCTTACTGATACTGTCGATAGAACGTTAGCTTACTGATGCTGTCGATTGAACGTGAGCTTACTGATACTGTCGATTGAACGTGAGCTTACTGACACTGTCGATTGAACATGAGCTTACTGATACTGTCGATAGAACGTTAGCTTACTGATGCTGTTGATTGAACGTGAGCTTACTGATACTGTCGGTTGAACGTGAGCTTACTGATGCTGTCGATAGAACGTGAGCTTACTGATACTGTCGATTGAACGTTAGCTTACTGATACTGTCGACTGAACGTGAGCTTACTGATACTGTCGATAGAACGTGAGCTTACTGATGCTGTTGATTGATGGTTAGCTTACTGATACTGTCGATAGAACGTGAGCTTACTGATACTGTCGATAGAACGTGAGCTTACTGATACTGTCGATAGAACGTTAGCTTACTGATGCTGTCGATTGAACGTGAGCTTACTGATACTGTCGATTGAACGTGAGCTTACTGACACTGTCGATTGAACATGAGCTTACTGATACTGTCGATAGAACGTTAGCTTACTGATGCTGTTGATTGAACGTGAGCTTACTGATACTGTCGGTTGAACGTGAGCTTACTGATGCTGTCGATAGAACGTGAGCTTACTGATACTGTCGATTGAACGTTAGCTTACTGATACTGTCGACTGAACGTGAGCTTACTGATACTGTCGATTGAACGTGAGCTTGCTGATGCTGTCGATCGAACGTGAGCTTACTGATACTGTCGATAGAACGTGAGCTTACTGATACTGTCGATTGAACGTGAGCTTACTGATACTGTCCATAGAACGTTAGTTTACTGATGCTGTCGATCGAACGTGAGCTTATTGATACTGTCGATAGAACGTGAGCTTACTGATACTGTCGATAGAACGTGAGCTTACTGATACTGTCGATTGAACGTTAGCTTACTGATACTGTCGATTGAACGTGAGCTTACTGATACTGTCGATAGAACGTGAGCTTACTGATACTGTCGATTGAACGTGAGCTTACTGATACTGTCGATAGAACGTGAGCTTACTGATACTGTCGATAGAACGTGAGCTTACTGATACTGTCGATTGAACGTTAGCTTACTGATACTGTCGACAGAACGTGAGCTTACTGATGCTGTCGATAGAACGTGAGCTTACTGATGCTGTCTATGAAACGTTAGCTTACTGATACTGTCGATTGAACGTTAGCTTACTGATACTGTCGATTGAAGGTTAGCTTATTGATACTGTCGATAGAACGTTAGCTTACTGATACTGTCGATAGAACGTGAGCTTACTGATACTGTCGATTGAACGTTAGCTTACTGATACTGTCGATTGAACGTTAGCTGTTACTGTCTATGAAACGTTAGCTTACTGATACTGTCGATTGAACGTGAGCTTACTGATGCTGTCGATAGAACGTGAGCTTACTGATACTGTCGATAGAACGTGAGCTTACTGATACTGTCGATTGAACGTTAGCTTACTGATACTGTCGATTGAACGTTAGCTGTTACTGTCTATGAAACGTTAGCTTACTGATACTGTCGATTGAACGTGAGCTTACTGATACTGTCGATTGCTGTCCTGTAACAGCCGAGCTCACCGCAGACCTCCCACAGTCCCGTGTACACAGATTTAGATGAGTTTTCGGGCGTGAAGCTGGCCCAGTAAGGCTGACCTTGACCCACGGTGTGAAGGACAAGGCCGACTACCATGCCTGACAGTCCCAGAAGCAGCCTCCAGTTCCTGGCTGGTTCCTGCTGCATGACCTGCCACATTAAAAACAAATGCACATGTGACTTCTGCATTATTTTCCTGACTGTTATATAAAAAAATGCACATGTGACTTCTGCATTATTTTCCTGACTGTTATATAAAAAAAATGCACATGTGACTTCTGCATTATTTTCCTGACTTTCATATAAAACAAATGCACATGTGACTTCTGCATTATTTTCCTGACTTTCATATAAAACAAATGCACATGTGACTTCTGCATTATTTTCCTGACTGTTATGTAAAACAAATACACATGTGACTTCTGCATTATTTACCTGACTGTCATAGAAAACAAATGCACATGTGACTTCAACTTTATTTTCCTGACTGTCATATAAAACAAATGCACATGTGACTTCTGCATTATTTTCCTGACTTTCATATAAAACAAATACACATGTGACTTCTGCATTATTTTTCTGACTGTCATATAAAACAAATGCACCGGAAACTTTAACTATGCGATTTCCGAGAGAAACCTTTTATAAGGTTTTATGTGTTATCTTACATATTGAAGCACGTGATGTAAATACAGGGAAAATGCTCACCTATCAAACTTTTATTAGTCCATGTTATTTTATTGTATAAACTTTTATTAACGAAGACGTATATTTTAGTTGATTACGATGATTCAGTATTTCGAATTTCTAATTAATACAAAAAAACTACAACTAAGGTTAGCCACACAGCTTACGGCGTGCATATGTATTATGTATTGTATAACACGTATACAATACACCCCGTGTAGTATACAACACGAGTATCATATAACTTATGTACACTTTAGCATATGTACCATTAACACATGCATTATATATAACATGAATTATATAACACATTTACCATATAACATTTATCATATAAGATAAACAATAAAAGAAATGTAGCTTACCATATAACAAAATAACTGAATAATACATGTAACATATACCACATGTGCCATTTAACATGTAGCATATAGTACATGTACTACATAATACAGTGCCCATATAGCACACGTACGTTAAAAACATGTAGCATACATATAGGAATATATATATAATTTATAACACACATACCATAAAACACATAGCATATAAAACTTTCACCATTAACACAAGTATCGCCTAAAACACAAAACATATCACACATGTCCCATATAGGGCCTACTAAATGTAGCATATAACACATGCATACAATAACACAAGTACACTATAACACATCAGTCGTATAGAATGTGATTACTCCGTGTTTATGATTTAGACAAGAGAAAGTAAAATATAAAAACCTACTGTTTATCGCATTAGAAATGGCCGTGACAACTATAACATTCTCCAACATGTGTAGTAGACAAACGTGTAAACCGGAAAGTCAAGCACACTCCCCTGTGTTCACTAACAGTGCCGTGTTGAATACACTTCCCTGAGTTCACTAACAGTGTCGGCTGATGTGTTGAGCACACTCCCCTGTGTTCACTAACAGTGCCGTGTTGAACACACTTCCCTGAGTTCACTAACAGTGCCGGCTGATGTGTGACTTACACGCCGTCGCTAAGCCTGTGTGTAACGTGTCCTTTATATTGAAAACCGTTCAGCCACTACACACTGTCTAATGTTTTATCGATTTTGTCACGAGGTGAAATCCATTCGAGTCGTGATTTATGAGAAATCTAAAATACCTGGTGTAATGTTAAACATGATCTAATGGTGTATTGCTTGTTGTAGACAAGATTGTCACATCATGGGTTAAAATATATATAGAGGGGTTATAGTTAAATCTGATCACTCCAATTTGCTTTGTTTGGCTAGGGGCTGGCATTGCCACTAAAGTATGTCTGGCTCTGTTGTTAATGCTAGTATATTTTATACATATGCGACGAATCCATCGCTATTTTATTTTGTGAATGTTTTCGTTTCGTTGTCTGTTTACACAGCTTTTATAGATTTGAAGAGTTGTATTTCCCTCTATATTTCCCTCTGTATTTTTGTATTTATTATTTTTCTTGTTTATTTTGACACCCTAGTTTCAAATCCCCAATAAAATACCACTTTCAAATATTAATAAAGGTTCTTATTTTAGTTTTGTTATAAATATGAAAATTGACAGGCTGATTTAAAATGAGCAAATACCTGTAAGGCTATGGTTACTAGGCGTTTAATGTCTTCGTCTAATCCTCCCTACACATTGATCACACAAGATGTATGAAGGATATCGGTAACCAACTAGTTAATTTTTAAATTTGTGGCATAACTGTGACAGATAAAATATCTGTTGTAAACTTTTTGAAAGTTTCGATTAATATTACCCGGACATTTTAATAATATATTGTTTAATTAGAACCAAGTGACAAATATCTATTTGTTTTAAAAAAAAGCATGCAGTATCTTAAGAAATGTAGTTATTAATTTTGAAAGGTGCAATCCAGTTTTATCAAAGTTTTATTAATTTTCATAAAAACGACTTTTAATTTGTGTTCAATATTGCACTAAGGATAGTTATATGCATGCATAAAAACTACATGTATTACCAAAATTATCGTATTTCTGAAATTGACAAGTTATATTTTTCACAAGATAAATTAACAATTTATATTACCTCAAAGACTTTCAACAAAAAACTCACCAAACAAGCCTTTATTACATAATACAATTAGGAAACACGTGTTGAAGAAAAATATCCTAGTATGTAAACTGAAAGATAACCAGATCAATAATCCAATTTTCAGTTTTGTTTTGTTTGCAATTGGATTTCGTTTAAAATTAAATTAGAAAGAAAGAGATAGAAAATTGTTATATTAAGGGCTATAACTGTCAAAATAAAAAAAAGTTGAAGAATACAGTGTTACCTCCCATGGATAAAAAAGTAGTTTTTACATGATCATAACAATTACATAACAATATATTTTCGGTCGTTTTCTGAAGACTAATAAAATCACAATTTACAAATTACAAGATTGGGCATACCTGGCTAAGAGCTCAGCACGGGTTAATCAGTTTACCATTACCTGCTACATACATGTACTTGCACGAGCATTCGTCAGATTGGGGGGGGGGGGAGGCAATCTCTAGAAGTTATTGGAAAACCCCAGTTCAATATTTAAAAACCTTAATTTCTGCAGAAAAACTATAATTAGCTTGTTTATTGTCCGACAAATCTAACCCTACCTCTGGGTTATATCTTAAGTCAAAAAATGTGGTCAGTGCCCAGACAGAAATCATCAACGCCGCTATCTCTAACGCCGTTCTTGTACTCCGTCCACTTTCAGCAGAATTCGATTCCACACTGTAGTACTGTTTAGCCGCTTCACCGTCAGCACGACCAGTTGTTGTTGTTGTTTACCTGAACTCTTCACGTCCGTACACGATATGTAGATGTTCTAACCTTGAGAAACACGAATCGCTTCGTTTCAGACATTGATCAACCTTGTAATAAAATTGTACATAAGATTAAAGTCGAGAAAATGAAATGTTCATATTAATATAAAAAAGTCTTTAGGGTTTCTGGGTAAAATATGATACTTTGTGTTTGTAGAGTATATACAATGATATATTTAAATGAAGAATTACATGGCAATACATACAACCAATTAGCTATTAAAGCTGCATGTATTGGGGGGGGGGGAGGAGATTTGACATAAAAAGTTAGACCAGTAGAAAGGGATAATTGTGTTGGGGGGGGGGGAGATAATTTTCAGTTTAAAGTCTTGAACCCTTTGTACTGTAGGTGAAATAATGAGTATAAATACAGTCCGTTCGGAGAATCGCTCACTATTATACTGACAATATATATTATATCGATCAATAGAGACCCTTATTTAAACTTACTAGAATTTATCCTGCCCTTACCTTCTGGAGTCACCAGCTCCGAATCATTGCAGTACATTCCCTTGCTGTAAAGTCTCGTGGTGTTGAGGGCAGACTCGGGGAGAAGCCAGTAACCCAAAGAAATATATTTTTTTTAAATTCAAGAGCACGATTAAAAACAATATATACTTTCATTTTGACTTACTTTTATACAGAGAATGGAGGAAGTGTTTTAATCGTGCACAAAAATCATATGAAATTTTGACAGTTTTCATCGTTTAACACCACAGTATTTCATCAAATGCGGAGTATAGGGGACTTATTTTAATCCGGCAAAAATTATAAAAGCAGATTTTTCAAATGTTTAGCGTTCTATGCGTAATCTAGTCGGAAAAACTGGGCTTTGCAACTCTGTCCGTATGTCTGTGTGTATGTGTGTCTGTAAACTCGATAACATGAGTACCATTACAGCTAGGTTGATGATTTTTTTTCAAAAATCTATAACTTGAGTACTGTTTCAGATAGATAAATGAAATTTCATAAGTTAGTAAAAAAAAAAACTAATTTTCTGCCTTCTGTTAAATTTTGAGTTATTTCCGTTGCCTTGAATTAATAGTTTACGCTATTTCTCAAGAAACGCATGTGAATTTATAAAGTACTATTCTATTATTCTGCACTATTATACACATATTGTAAGCCTCTTACAAAACCAGTTACATGCGTCCGGTTCGTTTTAAATTTAGCATTTACAATTTAACCTTATGTCATACTCTTTTCTTTTTTAACAATTTCCTAAATGTTACATTATAGAATTAATTTGATACAAAATCAATTTAATTATCTACACCATAAAATAACTATTATTATACTGCTTTTAAACCAATCCTAAGGGAAGCTAAGGTTTACTGGGGGCAAATTGATATGTTTTTAATATTTAATATAATGGACTTTATGAGTTTTAAAGAACGTATAATTGCATTGATATATAAGATATCTTTTCGTGAGGAGATGGATATTTCTTCATTACGAACATGTTCGTAGAACATACACATCTCAACACATAAGCCTACAGTAAATCAAACTTTTATCAACCAAAATTTATAAGCTTTATTTATTTTTCAAAACGTAAGTACGAATTTAAGAGTTCCTATTCATAAAGTTACAAGGTGTGTTTAATTTTAAGTGAGGAGATCAGAGTAATAACCCTAGCTAAACCGAATAAAAAGAAAACAAAAAGCAATTATTTCCCTTCGATGATTTACCTGGCAGTGTATTAAATCGAATATATGCACACATTTTAATTTTTTAAATAAAAAAAGCCTTTAATATAGAAATAAAAAATATTTTGATAAATATTAAATCATGTAGGTTAATTATAAACGCACGAATAAAGATATGTGAAACACTTTTTGGGGTTTGCTCACATATGAAATAAAGTAGAAAAACCAAAGAGAGAAGTGTCTCAGTATAGGCGTTTGATGAAATTTCTTGAATGTGAATATTTATTTAAATAAATTGTACGTTTTACATTTTGTTAAATCATTTCTACTTAACATAAATGTATCAGTGACGGAGTTTGAAAAAACAGGACCCCCCCCCTTCCCCTCCGACCTAGATGGACCTGCTCTACAATTGTAAACATTGATGTGAACCAAAGCTTACACAACTGTTGTGGTGATCGCGTCTAGCTCGCTATCTCCCCATCCGTTCTCTTCTTCTTCTTCGTTCTTAATTTTTAGTGTTGGAAGGGATCGAGATTTATCTGCCAGTGGGTTTGAACTCGAGACTTTTTCGAATTTATCAACCATGAGCTTTTTGCCGACTCGACCACGCCTCCAACACAATTAAGGATACGTGTCAACTGGTTATGCGCCATTGAGGCCATTGACTCCGATTTCAGCCTGCTTTTCTTTTTGGATTTGCTTCCATAGCCTTTGTCCAACCAAGAGCAAACTACAAGGCAGCAGTTGTTATTGAATATCGTATTCTGATTTAATTTTGTTATCTCGCCCTAGTTTCGAAACCGTTCAATACATTTTTAATGACTACTTAAACGTCTAATTACATTTTTTTAAATAAGATTTTTATTGTCATCGAAGTGGAATGTATCTGGAAATTTTGAACAAAATAGCTGCACTAGAATTGGGTCAAAACTGAGTTACAAGATAAGCAACAAACCCACAAACAAAGAAACAAAGAAAACAAACAGAAATGAACTAAAATCAAATACTATGCAATTAAGTTAATATTTTCTGACAAGTGTCTAAAACAATGTACGAATTATACGGATAGGTAGTTCAGAACCTATTTACTTATCTATTTGCCGCTTGTGCAGCTAAGAAGGGGGGGGGGGGGGGAGGGAGTGCGAAGTTTGTGATGTTTGCAAGTACTATTTCCAAAGACCATTATAACACTTACATTCAAAGTATTTAAGTTTCCTTCACATTTCTTGTAAAAGCAAAAACAAGTTAACGTACATAAAACCGATATTACTGATGCTAAGATATTATATTTGATTATTTGTAGGATGCAGGTTAGTACAGGATAGTATCTCTACCAATATAAAAAACATACAATTTATATTGAAAAATGTACAACTAATTTCGGGCACCTAAACAACGCTACAAAGAAGCAACGAAAGACATCTGCATACGGAGTGCTTTCGTGAAATATGTACTTTGTCCCCAAAGAATTTCCCAGGGATA